TCGGCTCAAATTCGTATCACTGGTTTACGCTTCTTGATTAAAACCTTCAGTCCTTAAACTTCTTGATTACCGCTAATACTTCTACTACCTCTACCACTATGGGATTCGAATTGACAATTGCAGCTGTGTGCTAATTTAATATGGCAACTTCAATTAATGTACATACAAATGAATGTCTACGTTGCAGCTGAATCAAAACATGATGTTACATTTTTATCTCATCCTAACTTACAGAAGAAGAAACTGACAAAATGAAGAAATTTCAATTTGGCAGAAAAAAACCACCTTTAAACCTCTTCTGTGTGATGCTGATCACGAGAAATTAATGTATTGGATTCGGTTTCAGTAGTGAAACGTTGATACATTTGCACTACTGAAGAGTCCTAGATTAAAGTTGAACTGTCAACTTCATGCTTTCTGATTTACAACAGTTTTTCCTTGAGTGTTTATATGTCAGAAAGATTCTTTTAGGATTGATCGATCCTTTTCCGAACTGCTCACCTAAAAATGATATACAATCCTAAAATAACGAATGGCTTTCAGAAAATGAAACTAAACAGTGATAATAAAACTTAAAAGTTGCAGAAAGTCAGAGATTGAATTTTTAAGATTTGCATGATAGAGTAACTTCAGTTAGATAACCATTAAAGCATAGAAAGTACTGGCTTTCTAAGTCATTGCTGAGATTTCATCAAACAATGACCTACCAGGACAGCTCAGCTGGATGATTGTGTTAGTGTTTCGTTGTCTGAGCTGGATGCTTTGGTTGTGGAGCTTTCATTGTTCTTCTGAATAGCATCATCAGCACAAACTTCGGATAAAAGTGAAGCATTCGAATTTCTCCACCTTGTTCAGAAGAACAATGAAAGTTCTACAACCAAAACATTCAGCTCAGAGAACGAAACACCAACACAATCATTGTCAGTGTATTTGTATTGTCGCTCAGTGCAGTTAGAAGTTTCTGTCATTTATGACCGCTTTCATCAATCAATCTGAGGATTATAAGTCAACTTGGTAATCTCCTGGAAGTAGATCAATACCATCAAAGTCAAGTGAAGTGAGGAGAGTGACCAACAATGACGGATATAAACTCAGGTTATCGATTCACCTGACAGTGAGGTATATGCTTTGTTTCGTTAAGTGGTTTTTTGAGTAAATTGTTTGTTTTAGGTTGACACATCACTTCCTTGGTACGCATTTTGAGGATATAGGGCCGTAAAGACTATAAGTATACTGAATGGAATACTACTATTTTACAATTAACAACAATTAGGAGTATTCGTTGACAGGTTTCTACGCAAAATACTTTGGATCTGTTGGCCAGACACCATCAGCAACAACCTACTGTGGGAAAGAACAAACCAAATTCCAGTGGAGGAGGAAATCAGGAAGAAGCGGTGGAAGTGGATAGGACACACAGTGAGGAAAGCACTGAGCTGTATCACGAGACAAGCCCTTACTTGAAACCTTTAAGGACAAAGAAGAACATGAAGACCAAGGAAAACATTACGCCGAATGATAGAGACAGGCATAAGAAGAATGAACAGCAATCGCTTAGATCTGAAAAGGAAATGTTAGGACAGAGTAGGTTGGTGAATACTGGTCGATCGCCTATGCTCCATTGGGAGTAACAAGCATAAGTAAAGTAAAAGTAGCAATTAGGATTCGATTGGTGGATATTTGATGAGCAAGTGTGTATAAACTTAGACAGACTCCTTGTAAAGACCCTAATAATTTCTTTTGCCATCTGAACAGATAAGTTCTTCAAATCTGGTCAAATATTTTATGACTTTCAACTTATACCATCATTATCTGTTTTTAGTCAAGCATTTGATGTTAACCTTGAACATTTTTATAAATATGCAAGTACGCACATAGTTTTGTCCTATTACTTATTTTTTCTACACGTCTATTTTCATCGATATAAGCAGGAGGTTCATACTTGGATATTTTGAATACGATTTAACTGTCTCTCCTATCTTCTACTCACACATAAATACTATCTAACATTAATTATTCTTTTTAGTATATTTTATATTTGACTTTTATTACCACTCGTTGCACAAAAAAGGTTAGTTAGCTGAAATTAATCAGTGAATTCAATCTATTTCATGATTGTTGTCATTTGATTGGCGCCAATGCTCAGCTTTTCATGTTCAATTCTGAAAATTCTTTTGAAACTTCATTGATCGTAATATAAAAGTTCGCTATTCATTTTTCCTGTTCAATTGGATAAGTAATATCAAAAAGCTTATGAAACTTTCTGTGATTATATATATATATTTGATACAGTGAGAATTTTCAGATGTATTTGAAATAAAAATATGTGTATAAAAGCTGTTTTTTATCAACTCAAATGAAAAATGCATATACAAACTAACAAAGAATGAGTTGTGTTGAAGTTAACAAAAAGAATATACTTACTTACTTACTTACTTACTTACCTACTTAAACCTGTTACCTCTCTTAAAGAGGAGGCCATTGACCACCATTTTCTCCAACCTACTCTATCCTAGGTCTTCCTTTCCAGGTCTAACCAATAGCTATACATTCTTTTAATGTCTGTCTCCACTTCTTGGCTTAATGTACTTTTTGGTATTCGTACTTTGGTATTCGGTACTGAGGATTTCTAGTGAGGGTTCGTCTTGTGACGCAGTTGAGTGTTTTCTCTAATGTGTGTTCTATCCACTCCCCAGTGTTTCTTCCTGATTTCTTATTCCGCTGAAATGTGGTTTGTTCTCCTCCACAT